TAGCTAGACATCATCACTCAGATTTCACTCTCACTCTCCTTGTTGGTCAACGCTTATTAAACACACACGCATGCAGTACCTGGCCTACACTACAGTAAAGAGAGAGTGTAGCTAGCTCGACCCCTGTTCAGGGCCGGATTAACCATGAGGCACTGGCCTCAGGCCCCCAGACTTTTAGGGGCCCCCAGACTCTTAGGGGCCCCCAGATTCTAAGGATAAAAATATTTAGCTATATGTCCCATTAAATGGTCAATTAGTAAGTAAGCCATTAACTATTTCGTTCTAAATGTGTCCAATTGGATCATATATATACAGTGGAGTGTGGCAACTGTTACTACTGTTCCACAACAGTAGCTGACGACACTCGGCTGATCCGGGACTCCATTGTGACGTACGGACGGCGCCAGACTTTCGTATTGGAGGACCATTTCAGGTAAACAATGATGTATATAACTTCAGTTAATAAGTTATGAATGATCAAAGAATTATGTGAAGTGCGAAATAATGGATAATTTGGAAGGGAAATATGAGGAACGGGAATGTTTATATTGGATTATGTGGCGGGATGGATCACCTGATCAGGTGAGTTCATGTCATATGTTCTGTCATTAATGGTGTCTAATTCAAGTGAAGAACGAACTTTCTCCAAGTTGAAGCGTATAAAAAACGAGCCCTGTTCACCAATGTCCCAGCCACGTCTCCAATTTCTGTCTCTTATGAACATTGAATATGATATTATGCGGAGGCTTAATTTTGATGTTATCATTGATGAATTTTCTAGAAAGAAAGCTAGAAAAGTGGTTGTTTAAGTTACCAATAGTTGTGCATTTTGATTTTTGAGTAAACAATAGTAACAATCAATTTAGTTATTTTTTGTTCTTGTTATTTATATACACCTTTAGGGTAGGGGGCCCCCAAGCTGATCTGTGCCTCAGGCCCCTATTAAGCTTAATCCGGCACTGCCCCTGCTGCAGTGTCGAGAGACTAAACTGGTAGAGTGGTAACAGGAAAGGATTGTATCTTTTTCATCCACTCACATAATTATCAACATTTATAACATACATACAAATAATATACTGTGGTTTATCTATTATGATCAACTAATTCATTATTTTATTAAGCAAGAAACCTTTATTTTTTTAATTTTCCCTCACCAAACATATACCCATTGCTTAATAAGTCACCATTGAGTATGACTATATATAACTAACAATAACAAGAATATATATAATTAATGTCGACTTTTTTCTATTTTGGCAATACATTTAAAACTTATATGAGCCTTACATACACCCCAACATCTCTCTTTATAAACAAGATACACTGTACCATAATATATAGATCTGATGATAAACAGCTTAAATTGGTAATATTAATCTGTAACTAATTATAATATCTACTTACCTGTAATATTCCTGAGTTTCCTTCCCACGCATTAATAAACCGAGTAATATAACATGGCTTTCAAACAATTATACCATTTTATTTCAACTGTGTAATGAATCAGAGGTACACATTATATACATTATCTTATATACACTATAATGCATATCTTAATTATAGCTAACTCCTTTAATCGTACACAAGACTATAAATTTCGTCTGTAATAAAAATATATTACATTAATATATGACCCTCAGTATATCACCTCGATATATGAGCTTAAATAATGACTTTTAAATGATTATAATACCTAAATATGACCTGTATATATATTTATGTATGTCTATCAATTTAATGGCTATTTTTTCACAATATTATCGAGTTTTTAGGAAAATGAACTATAATTCGATCCTGAGGTGAGAAATTATCCCGCGCTAGTGCAGCCATTAATGTTTTTTTTAGATTATCACAATATTCCATCAATCCAACCTATCTTAACTTTGAGGATCTTATAACATGTATACTTTGTGTAACATTATAAACTAGATAACACCTTGATTATTTTGATTAGTTGGATAACATTAGAAGTCATTTACCTTAATTTCTAGTTTGATTCAATGCTGCTCCAGATTAAAATCTTTAAATGCTTTCAGTTCTCTTGTATAGGACATCCAACTTCTTCTCTTCTTTCGCTAAATTCATCTCTAAAGTTAAAAGTGTTATACAAGTAACAGTATACTTACCTAGAGTTTCTACTACACATATTTTCAGCATCACAAGACGGTAAGGGTGATCGTGTGTCCAGCTAAGTCCTCCATGTTCCCGGTAAAAATTATAAAGTTAAGTAATGTTGGAAAATAACCTTGAATGAGACCCAATACCCGCTTTTATTTTTACTTAAAGCTATTAACACAACACAAATTTAATATAACGAACGTGATATTTTTAATTAAGTTATATTTTGTTTTGTTGGTTCGTTTTGTTTTAAAAATTAATAGTCGTTGTGTTCTTGTTCGTGGTATTTACTTAACTTTAACAGTCCTCTGCTAAAGTTAATGTATTTTTTTAAATTGTTTTTGTATCGTTTCTGTTTTATTAAGTTTATATTAATACATTTTGTTATGCTACACTACGATTGATAATTTCTACAAGTTAGTTAGTTTTGGTCGTTAATCTCCGGGTAAAATAAGCTAGGGTGGTAAATCTACAGGTAAAATAAGCTACTAAAACCTCCTCACTCGGTACCTGGATGGTGTGAGGTGATGCAAGTGCCAGTTGTCAGTATGTGTGTCCTTTCCCTGACCGCTACCACCTACCTACCTCCTCCCTCTTATATACATACCCCATATTCCTCCTCCTCCTCCCCCCTTAGACACATACCCCATTCCCTTATACCCCCTTCCCCCTTAGCCTGCATTCTTAATAACACAATGAGAAAAGACGAACCAATAAAAAAACACAAAATAATACAATTCAGAAACTTACCCAGTAGCTAGGAGACAATACCTACTTGAAAGAGATAAATGGAACAAGAAAGGAGACGATTAAGAGAGATAAATAAGGAAGAAGAAGAATGAAAGGATAACCAAGTATATAAAGATAGTAAAATCCCCAATGTTTACCCAGTAGCTAGGAGACAATAGACGCTTGAAAGAGATAAAATAGAACAAAAGAGAAGAGAAGATTAGGAGAGATAGGAAGACAGGAGAAAAAATAAAGGCGTCAGAAGTGTGTGTGTGTGTGGACTAAGAGCAGGCTACTGGGACGCTGGTGTTGCCGAGCGAGGTTATCACAGTCTATTGTTGGACATCTTGATGGTTGTCCTCTTGTCACGGTACTGAGACACCTTCCTTTCCTCCTTCACTACTGTTCATCCTTCCTTCCTTCTCTCCTCCACCATGGTACTTAGAAATCTGACACCTTCTTTCCTTTCCGCCTTCCTCCAACACGGTACTAAGACACTTTCCTTCCTCCAACTCGGTACTGAGACACTTTCCTTCCTCCAACTCGGTACTGAGACACTTTCCTTCCTCCAACTCGGTACTGAGACACTTTCCTCTCTTCCAACATTATTCATCCCACATAACACAGGGACTAGTTTATTGAGCACCCTTTACATCCTGTGTTGGTAAGGCAAAACACAAAACCTCTACAATCTACATCATCCAATAGGGAAGCAACAGAGTTTAAGCTTTTCTTTAACTTAAAATATGATTGGACGAGGACAGTACCTAAGTGGCCATTGGTGTTATGATTCAGTTGTAAGTAATGACATAAGAATAGGTTTATAAAGGTACACATAGATTTCCTTGTACAAAATTCTTCTGTTTATGGCAAAGCGAAATGATCACAACCTTTCGTTTCTCAAAGGTAAATTGAATGACCTTTAAAAAAAAGAACAAATGAGCATCTGTGACCTTACTTGACCTCCCCTGCCACCACAATGACAACTGAATACCCCCCCCCTGATCGTACATACTGACAAGGAAGAGATGATAAGTGGTGTAAGGCCTGACTCGACCTCTCACAGAATGAAGCCAAGATATGGGAACTGACCTTGAGTGACTATTTGACTCCTTAAAGCTAAATGGATAAACGAAGCTTTATCTCACACTCTTCTTCACCAGTATAATAATGTGTCTCACTAAATGGATAAATGAAGCTTTATCTCACACTCTTCTTCACCAGTATAATAATGTCTCACTAAATGGATAAATGAAGCTTTATCTCACACTCTTCTTCACCAGTATAATAATGTCTCACTAAATGGATAAATGAAGCTTTATCTCTCTCACTCTTCACTGGTACCTGTCATAAGCCATAAACAGATGTAATAATCCACTGTATTTATACCCCAAAGAAATAAACACAATCTTTCACAATGTTGCCGGTGGTTGCTGCCTACACGACTGTAATCTAAGGACACAAAAAATATATAACAAATTCGGAGATTAAACAATTCTACCTGGAAATAGTACGAAGAAAAGTGATAAGAACTACGGAAACTTAATTAAGATAAAAGAACAGGAAATCAAATTAAGACACCTTGAAACTACTGTAATGTAATGAGCAATGAATAAAAAATATACGAAATGGAAAAAATTATATAAAACCCTTTTGACTTTTTTTTTTAACGAATCCAAAAGTCATCTTGACCTGTTAAGGGAGATGGTAACAATACAAGCAATAATCTGATCTTGGATATGTGTGATATTTACCCTGTCATACGTCACCACACTGGATGGCCTAAACAACAATGGCTACCGTGACACCACAATACATACATTGTTGTGTCTGACCCATGCACTACCCTCTCCTCCTCCTCTACCACGACCAGCATCTAACCTTCACCACGAGCCTTGTATAAACCCCTTATATTATAGCTATATTTAAAAGATACTATGTTTCACTACTGCTCTATGTAACCCTCTAACCCCTATTGTGCTACTGTAAATCATCATATCTTGTCTACTATAGTATGTCACCACAAATCACCAATACTAATATATATAAACAATATCACTATACACAATACTATAAAAATTCACATTCTAGTAATCATTATCATAGAAACTCCAGAGTAATCTATTTACGTGGTAAGTATTTGAAATTTAACATTCATAAATAATTTCTTTATTTCTGGAGACCTGTACAGTATATGATCACAGTTTATAAAGGAGATAATATGGACACAGCCACATAATCATGAATAGTTGGTGTGGGATAACTCTTACTGTGGTGAAACCTCTATTTAATGGACTAAATGGAGATGAAAGTCCATTATATCAAGGGTCCATTATATGTGAAACTTCCACCTAACAAACAACATAGAGATGAAAGTCCATTATATAGGGGGTCCATTAGATACGACACCCCTACTTAATGGAATATATATAGACAGAAATCCGCTAAACAGAAGTTTCACCCTAAGGGACAGATATAAAAACTGTCCAGCTGTAAGAATCCCCAACCAAAATATCACCGGAATCTGGCACATTTGAAGCTAGTGTTAAGACGGGTTGCCCTTCCAATCACCAACCTGCTTTTATTGAATAGGAACTGGGGATCATATGTAAGACCCTCAAGGACCCTCTTAACTAGTATGGCCGGGTCACCTTAAGTACAAATGAACCTTAAAATTCCATCGACAGGAAGACATAGAGACTGGGTTAAAAAAATAATAGTATTATATTATGTTTTTTGTGGGGGGGGGGGGTACTTGAGCTCTGCCACGACCCCCCTAAGAGAAGACCTTCATCACGTTCAGTTTAGTGGCATAAATGAACGATCAATTGAACAGATACAAAGTCCATATATAATGAAATACTATAATATCAGTTTATAAGCCAAAGAATTTTTTTTTAGATATTCATGTCACATAATAATACTGTAAGAATAATTATAAATACATATTAAAATCTCTAGAGTAAAATCAAGAGTTCAATTACATCAAATCACATTCACACGACACAACCACGACTCTTCACACACACATGTAAACCTTCACCCAGAACGTATCTAAGTAACACAAAAATAACCTAATTGTCTTAAAGGACCACAACTATACTTTGATAAGATCACCTGAAGAATCTCCACTACAGCTTTATTTCACCTCCAGATTAGCTAACCACCCTAATGCTAATCCTAACCTAATCTCTTCCCTTCTAAATAGTGTTAAGTTGAGTGATTAATCTTTAGGTGAAATAAGCTAGGGTGGTGATTTTTCAGATGACCCATTTGATATGCTATAAAGAAAATCCAAAAACAAGCCTTAAAACATTTCCCACAAAGCACTATACTGTAGCCACTCACACAAGCCCTGTCGCCTCTCCTCTTGAGCCACGAACCCCAAAGCAATTGATACTGAAGCATTTTTCTGTCCATAAATGCTTCGGATTCACAAGTCTGAATCTCGGGGTTCATAGTTCAGGAGGTGAGACAACAGGACCTTTTTCTATTGGTGAACATAATGTTTTGGTAATAAGTAACTGGGGGATAGATATGTCTCACATGACAATTTAGTCATTAAATACTTATTTTAGGATTTAACTTAATTACCTGTATCCTCTTGTAATTTCACCATTAAATCTCTATAAAAATAAAATAGTTAGCAAATAAAATTCTACTAACCTCTTTATAAATTATTGCTAAAGTCTATAGAGTAGTTATTTCTTTCCCGTTGCACAAGACATACAGTGCAGCACTTATTCCCAGCCTCCTCATGTTGAAGCAGCTGGTGGTTATGTTGACACAAGTACACCCACCAAAAAAAGTCCTCTCCATTCTCTCTTCCATCCATGAACCTGTGAACCCGAGACATTACACGGTGCACCTTTTACAGACCCAACAATGTGCGATGTCTCGGATTCACAGGTTCATGAGACTCAGGGTTCATGGATGGGAGAGGGAACTGACAGGATTTATTTTGGTGGGTATTCATGTGTACTTTTAAACTGAGTTATCTATTTTTCTAGTGAATATAAAAATATCACAAGGTTAATAATATTGGCTGTCTCTATCTGACACATGCATAGTTATTTTCTCATCTCATAAAATATTTGTTGTAATGTTTGTTCAATTCTGGTATAGGAGTAGAGGAGAAGGCTGGCTGGCTGGCTGAACAGTCCTTATACTGCTATTATGCTGCAGTGAAACATCTATTTAACAGAAGAAATGGAGAGGAAAGTCCATCACTGTATATCAAGGGTCCATTATATGTGAAACCTCCATCTAGCGGATTACATGGGGAGAAAAACCCATTATACGAAGCTTCCACTATATACAGGAATGTTTAAAGTGAGAGGTTTGCCATTAAAAAATATAATACAGTTGAACATAAAAAATTGAAGTACACTAACAACAGTCAATAGACATCTTAAATGATCTGGGTACAAGGAGATAATTAATACACAGAATACTGAGAAACAAGACATCAGAAAAATTTAAAAGGATTAATTGGATAACAAGTGTAAAGACAATAGTGTAGTGAATATCATATTAATAAACAAAATCTACACCACCTTTTCCTGTTATTCTCTACACCTCTCTTTTATCTTTTCCTTTTAGGTTTCTGTCCCTTCATCCATCCCACACATATAACACAACACAGTACAGAGATCCCTACAGAAGAAATATAATGGTATATATAAATACATAAATTTGCTAATTATCTAGGGCCCGAGAGCACCAGCGCAAGGAGAGCTTGAACACGCTTACACCCAGTGGCTGCCACCAGGGGATGTGACTCAGGTATGAATTCAAGGTGATCAAGTATCTGTTTAGTTATCAATTGTACTTTTTCCTCCTTTAATAATATTTCTGTTTTCTTTAACTTTACAAGCTCTTCCTTGATACACATCTTAACATGAGTAACTTCTAAAGGCAAAAAAGGCACAGTTACAAGGTTTTTGGTTATGGAGTTCAGTAGTTTGTATTCATCCAAGGCTGATATTACATCAACGAATTCCTCACTGCTAAGATTTGCTCTCGGTGTTCCACTCTGGCGCATCTCAACAAAGTAATCGTTGATCTCCTCGCTGCCTCGTGTGCCACTAACGATAATAACAATCTGACCTTTCTCGTTGCCCTCAGCATTAAATTTGTGGACCATGGTAATAAATTTGGCTAAAACCTCAACAGGAAAGTTACCTTCTTCATCCCATCCATCAATAACTATCAAATTGAGGGAACAAGAATCAAGTCTGTGAAAGAGGGAAGACATTTCCTTGTATAGACTACTGTCGTCTCTTGGCAGGAAGGAAGGAAACACAATTTGTACCATGTACGCACCCGAGAAAACGTGTTTAATTATCTGCGTCGTTTGTGTTTTTCCGCTCCCTGTCCCGCCAACTAACCAAATTATGAGAGGAATTCTGACTTGATTTGGCCTCATTTCCCCAAAGGTGTCTAATATTATGTCTATAGCCATATCTTGACCCAATACATTCATAGAAAGTTGTTCCTTTAACTCATCAAGAGGCAAGACCCTGTTCCTCTTTGCCTCACATTCCTTTTCTTGATAATCAATAAATGCCGATATTCCAAATGTTAACAGAAACACCGACAACAACAGAACTAACATACAAAACAGAACCATTTTAATTGTCTTTAAAATTTTCCCTGACCAAGATGGTGTTTTCTTCTGACTCTGTTTTCCTTCGTTTTTCACGGGTTTTCTTGATCGCTTTCTCAAAACATTCTCGTCAGGTACTTCAGACGTCACAGGGTCGTTATTAGATGAAGATTCATGTAATGGTAAGGATCTATCTAAGGAACTCCCACCTTTAACTTCTTTGACAATCGGCGGTTTTTCAAGACTGGGATCACCTATAGCAACAGTCCTCCTCCTCTCTAGCCTGTGTTGGTCAATTGAACTAGATCGGGAAACATGGTGGGGTCTGCGTACAAATATCTCCGTCAGGCTGCGTCCGGGAGATTTTGGTCTCCGATGCGTTGAATATGGAGAGGAGGATAAGATGAATTCCTCCGGTTGAGCCGATAATGACCTCCTCAGCGGTTTAATTTCTATGGATCTCACAGAAGGCACTGAATCCGACTCGTCCATCCTAAACCTGCGAAAGAGAAAAGTGAGTGTTAATATAGTGTGTGGTTTACAAAGATATCTTAAGTCTACCCTACCCTATCCTACCGTACCCTACCTTACTCTACCCTACCATACCCTACCCTACCCTACCTTACTCTACTCTACCATACCCAACCTTACCAGACCCTACCCTACCCGACCCTAACCTTACCTAAAAATACTAAATGACAACGATAATTATGAAAGAATATATTATAAAGTACAGTACTGGAGAAATTTTAGACCACACACTATAGTAGCACTGATAAATGCCTTCAAGTCAAGTTATATATTACGTTACATTAAGTGTTACAAAAGTTAAATTAAGTGCGTGTTGGTTTAGGTTTGTAGGAAGTTATAATGAACATATAGAATTTTCACTCAAACAACTATTCATCTCGTATCTGTATGTAGTTCTGGGTTACATATTTCTGTAACAAAGTATGGGCTGTCAACAGTTACCAGAGTATTATTAATCTTCTAAATCAGTCAAACGTCGCAGATATTAATGACAATTGCTTTCTCTTTCTTCAATGTAACAGCCACACTTCCTTTAGTATGAGTCACATCACGGAGGTCCCCAACACCGAGTCACTGGACGTGTACAGTCAGTCAGCTACAGAATGACAACAACAACATCACCGAACCACGAACAGGATATTTAAATTAATTATATTTTGGATAATATGAGATAATTAAAAAAAATTAAGAAATTTATACTGATATATTAATTTTTGGTTAATTATATTTAATTGCAAATATACAATTTAATAATTAAACAAATAAATGAAATAGTCGGTGACTTTATTCGTGGTAAAATAGTAACATTAAATGGGCTGTCACCATGTCCTTAAATATATAGGATTATTAGATATGTTTCATATAATCAAGAAGATTATATAAGTTCTTAAAGGATTACAAGTGTTATTGCTAAACAGAATGTATTTATGACAATTATTCAATATAAAATATAGAAGATATATACAAGAATACAATAAATAATCATATGCTGGCACAGGCAACATATAAATTTATTGATCGAACTATTTTTAACGGAGATATTATTAAATATTTTTTAGAGATACTAATGTAAAAACCTTATGTATGTTACAGCAATAGGAAGAAACTTATTCTTAAAATTAATATAGCTGCTTATTACTGTTTTCTTTTGTAATATGGGTGAATTTTACATTAGGATTTTTTCGTGTCATAAACAGTTTTCCCAAATTACCGTCTATGACTCAAGCAATTAGTAATAAAGCTAATTGATTATTAAATTGAATATTATTAAATGTAAGCCTTTTGTACAATTGAATAACAACAAATAATGCTTCTGGGTAATGTTCTTATCCAAGAGTTATAATGGGAAGAAAAAAATGGAGGCAAATAAACAAGATGGGTTAACACCAGTTATTCCACAGAAAATAGCACTAAATAAATTACTTTAATAATGAGCCAAACCTAACTGAACTGATCTAAATAAACTCTTAGAATCGTTACAGTTAATAGATCATGTTGTGTTAATTTAGTGTGTGTCTGTATGAGGGTTAAGGGGTAGTTTATGTTAGCTGGCAACACTGTGGCTAGTGTTGTCACTTGTGGCGGTGACGGCTGACAGGACCACCACCAGCTCCGCCTCTTTGATCGTGTATTTGTGTCTGTCAGCGCTTAGGTATAGTATATTTATGTGATATATAAAGATTAAGAGTAGCAGTAAGGGTAGGTTACTATTAAAGAGAGTGTAAGAGGAATATGTAGTGTGTGAGGTGCTGATATGTATCTGGGACACCTCGACTCACCTAAGGGATTTTGAATTTGCTTCGCCCGGCTTTACGTCTAATTTGATTTGATTGTTTAATAATTCATAAATGCTTACATACATGAATCTGAATAGTGGATGACGTGTAAGGTATTAAAAGTATTTATTGACTCATGTGAGACAGGTAACAGGCGAATTTCAAAATGTAATGTTTTTTTCTTTAATGTCCATAAACGTTAATAACTCATCAATTTCTTTATTATTCAATGCTCAGGTTTATGTACAAAAACATCTTAACTATGATTATGTTTTGACCTTTTATTAATAATGTTAAAAATACCATAATTTATACAGGTATGGCAAGAAAGATAAAAGTTTTAATCAATGTGATGTAAAACTTGAGTCTTGGTTCACAGCACATATGAAAGTGTCTCTATACACATGGGGAATTAAAAACAAAGATTATATGTATTTACTCAATTTTATCCGTTTTTTGTACATTAAACCACATTTTTCCAGAGACTTACACTATAAAACCTGAAATTCGTTCCTGTGAGAAAATGGCAGTAATTGGTTTACAATAAATGGGTCCGACTAATTACCCAAATGTAGCCGCAATGAAGTCAAACAATGGTCCTACATGAATAAATCGGGTTACTAATCACTTCTCGACTAGTATTTGGTGTCACAAAGTAAAAAAAATTGGAAAACATAATTTAATTTGAGTTAATAGATCGAGTGCATGTACCGAACCTAACCTAACCTCGACTAGTATTTGGTGTCACGAAGTCACAAAAAATTGGTAAACTTAATTTAATCTGAGTTAATAGATCAAGTGCATGTACCTAACCTAATCTAATCTAACCTAACTTAACCTAACACAACACAACTCAGATTAAATTAAGTTTACCAATTTTTTGTGACTTTATGACACCAAATAATAATCGAGAAGTGATTCACAGTCCGATTTATTCATGTAGGAGCATTATTTGACTTCATTGCGGCTACATTTGGGTACATTTGGGTAATTACTCGCTCCCTTGGTACATACACGCAATCTATTAACTCAGATGAAAGTAAGTTTTCCAATTTTTTGTGACTTTGACACCAAATACTAGTCGAGAAGTGATTAGCAGTCCGATTTATTCATGTAGGACCATTGTTTGACTTCATTGCGGCTACATTTTGCTACATTTGGGTAATTAGTCGGACCGCAATAAACTGGTTTATTGAAAACCTAAGTTACAAAAAGTTATTGTTGTCATGCCAGCCGGATAAATTAAATGCAGTTATGAAGTACCGGTAGTGGGTATTATTTTACTTGTTGCCGCCCAAAGAATTATTAGAATTTTATGGTTGTAATAAATAATTTATACAATTTTAAGAAATTTTTTCTTTTGTGATGTTTCCATAACCTAACCAAACCCAAACCAAATCAAAGTCATCCTAACCTAACCAAACCCGTCACACTAACCTAACCTAACCTAACCTATTGGCGATACTGTGATTCTAGAGATGGGTTTGTGTTGCTACATGTCCTGGGTGTGGAGTTTGCTGGCCATAGTGTTTGGGGTCGCTGTGGTGAGCCTCTTCACAAGAAAGAAGCGAGACTTACAAGGCAAGCATGTTCTGGTGAGTCTCGAAATGTTGTTGTTTTTTATTTCGCTTCGGTTATTTCGATAGCAGCTAGGGCACTGTTATTATTTAATCACAGGTAACCAACACAGGCATGGAGAATGGTGATGATGATGATGATGATGATGATGATGGTGGTGGTGGTAATGATGGTGATGATATACACTGCATATTGATTTGTCTTAAAATCTTCAGTTATTTATATCAATAAGGTTTATTACCTCACACACATTACCAAAAATATATATACTAATTCCTCATAATCTTATCTATTTTCTTTAAATTAGAATATACAAGCATGATACTTTATTACATTATATATTTTACTCGCACAGATAACTGGAGGTTCAAGTGGGATTGGTCTCAGTGTCGCTCATGATGTCGTGGGCAGAGGAGCGCATGTTACTCTGCTAGCAAGAAATGTTGCCAGACTGGAGAAAGCAAGGAGTGAGGTGGAGGTCTCTGCTTCCAAGGTTGCTGAGGGAGGGAAGGTCCAGTTCTTCTCAGGTAAAGACATTTTTTTTCATTATTTTTTGTATATCATTCATTGGACATCCTAGTGGCATGTTGGGATTATGTTGGGATTATGTTGGGATGGTGTAGAAAGACCAGAAGGATATGTTGGGGCCATGTTGTGGAAGGAAAACATTATGTGGAAAAGGAGACAGAAAGATTGAAATGACAGAGTTTGTTTTGCTTTTGATTTTAGCTGCCCTGCACACCACAGCTCAGGTTTATGATGTCAACAACTGAAAAAGCATCAAATATGTTCTCTTAATTATTATGGTACAGAGATGACTAGGATATGGAGCCTTTATATAGAGACTATAATATATTGTATCCTTGAGGAAGGTAAAGTATTGAACCATATTGCTATGATTTGTGTGTTTCACCATATTTTAGAGCTAATAACCCTCCCCTCCTCTCTCCTCCCCCTCTCTCCCCTCTCCCTCCTCCCCTCTCCCTCCTCCCCTCTCTCTCTCCCTCTCATAAGAACATAAGAAAATAAGGAGTCTGCAATAGGCCGGTTGGCCTGTGCATGGCAGCTCCTGTCGAGAGTTACTACCACTCTCTATCATTCATGAATCTATCTAGCCTCCTTTTAAAACTTTCCAGCATTCCAGCACTTACTACAAAGTTGCTAAGCTTGTTCCACTCGTCCACCACCCTATTTGTGAACCAGTTCCTTCCTATCTCCCTCCTAAACCTAAACTTATCCAACTTAAATCCGTTGCTCCGAGTCCTATCCTGCTCGGATATTATAAGAACTTTATCTATATCCCCTTTATTGATTCCTTTCACCCACTTAAATACTTCTATCATATCTCCCCGCATTCTTCGTCTTTCTAGGGAATGCAAGTTTATTTCTTTAACCTATCCTGATATGGAAGGTTTCTAAGTCCCGGAATCATTTTCGTCATTCTTCGCTGCACCGACTCTAGTGAATTGATATCCATTCTATAATAGGGGCACCAGAACTGAACCGCATAATCGAAGTGCGGTCTGACTAGCGCAAGATATAGTTGCAATAAGACCTCTGCACTCTTGTTACTTACACTTCTAGATATAAAACCCAATACTCTGTTTGTCTTATTTCGAACATTAACACACTGTTTTCTAGGCCGTAGGTCCGGGCTTACAGGTACCCCTAGGTCTCTTTCACAAGTCGACTTCTCTAGGTTGATGTTGTTAAGGCTGTATACATTGACAATGTATTTGTTCTTCCAATATTAGAAATGCAGCTGCACTTGCTGGTGTTGAATTTCATTTGCCATTTTTCTGACCACTCCTGCAGTAAAATTTAAATCCTCCTGTAGTGCATTTGCATCCTGCCCCGAATTTATATGTCGCCCTATTTTGGTGTCATCCGAAAACATGCTTATGTCACTGCTGATCCCAGTATCTACATAGTTTATGTAGATTATGAACAAGAGTGGGCCTACTACTGACCCCTGGGGAACCCCACTGGTTACACAGCCCCACTCAGATTTAACACCATCTACGCTGACCCTCTGCGTTCTATTGGTGAGCCATGATTTTATCAATTTAAAACTTACCTCTCGATACCATGAGCCCTTTTCTCAAGCCTCGATGCGGTACTCTGTCAAATGCTTTGCTAAGTCTAAGTAAATAACATCTCTCTCCCTCCTCTCCCCACCTTACCCCCTCCCCACTTTACCCACCCTCCCCACTTTACCCACCCTCCCCCTTTCCACCCTCCCCCCACTTTACCCTCCCCACTTTCCCCCTCCCCCACTTTACCCCTCCCCACTTTCCCCCCTCCCCACTTGCCCCCCTCCCCCTTTCCCCCCTCCCCCACTTTCCCCTCCCCACTCCCCTCCCCCCTTCCCCCCCTCCCCCCCACTTTACCCCCTCCCCACCTTTCCCCCCTCCCCCACTTTGCCCCCCCTCCCCACCTTACCCCTCCCCACCTTACCCCCTCCCCCACTTTACCCCCCTCACTTCCCCCCTCCCCTTTACCCACCCCCTCCCCACCTTCCCCTAACAGTTGACCATTATTTTGTGTAGTAAAGATTGCCTTGTGTCTCCAGGTTTAGTTGATGGTGTGTTTGCTGGTCTTGGGAGAGGGTTATTCCCCCTATATATGCTATGGAAACTCTTACTATTTTGTTTGTAATTGTAAATGTATTAAGATTCTGTACAGTGACTTATCTCTCTTGGGCAAATTTATCACTTATGTTTTATTAATAACTTTGTTTGGTGGTTTAATTAAGTTAGTGTTTCATTGTATCCAACAGCTGATCTGAGTGGAGACCCAGAGAAGGTAGCAGCAGCAGTTAAGGATGTAGAAGCTAACCTGGGACCTGTCTTTATGTTGGTGAACTGTGCAGGATTTTCCAGAGCACAGAAGTTTGAGGATATTTCACCACAGCTTCTCAAGGTATGGATTACTTTGAAGTATCTTTATGTTTACTATTTTAGATATGAATTGTGAACAGCAATAGGGCCCTACAGTAAATCTCATAGAGTACTTTACTGGGAGGACAACTTTTTATTCATTTCACTTGAACTTCTGACAGAAACTATTATCCTTACCTAGATTTTTTTCAGATGATCTTTCCTGTACTCACACAAAGGATTTTAAAGAGTTATTGTATTTTTCCCCAGTGTGAATCTTTATTGGAATACTGTATTCTATTATTAATGTCACATTATCTCGCATACAGCAAATGATGGATGTGAATTTCACGGGTCATTCGTCATAACACAAGAGGTGGTGTAGCATGAAACAACAGCAGGAAGGAGTGGTGGTGTTCACATCCTCGCAAGCCGGTCTTCTTGGTCTCTATGGCTTCACTGCCTATTCTGCCGTAAAGGGAGCACTAGTCAAGTTGGCCGAGGCTCTTCACATGGAGGTGGATCATTGTCTTAATGTTTTATAGTTGATATTTTTATTACCTGAAAAAACCATATTGTTGTTAAAGTCTCCTATCCAACATAGTCCATCAATCCTTTTATTATCTCCATTATGTTAGACAAGGTATGACGGTACAATACTACTGTATATTCCTTATAGTCAGTCCTCTCTCAGCACAAATATATCAGTCTCTACCTATTTCCAAGCATTCTTTTTCATGCTGACATACAACAGGAGGCACACACTCCACCTCATTCACTCTATACTTACCTCAGCAGATAGGCCATGGTGTTACCCTTCCACGAGGCCCTGATGATAATGATATTAATATTTATTCAGTGAAATTTTCATGTGTACTAGTTTACAATTGGTATGGCATGTATATGGATAATTCAGGTATTCAATTCAGCATGTATATAAACAACTTGCAGTGGTGGTACACAAACAATGGTAAACAGTAAGGCAGTTCAACCGAGGATAACCAACAAAGCCATCCGATGGTTATATCCAATAGGGTCCTGTACCGAGAATCCCACCTTGTTTACCATTGTAGATTCATGTATCATCCGTAGCATCCAAACAACACGCACCGGCAGCACATCCATTCCCATAAACCACAGCTGTAAAAAAAAGTCTGCGGGGAACTAATGACAGCTGCTTAAGACTCATCCCGTAATTCCACCCTCATCTAGAAAGCGTCTCTTGTAGGTAATTGCTCATCTGTACTTTCAGGTGAAGCCGTACAACATCTCGGTGACTGTGTGTTACCCTCCAGACACAGACACGCCAGGGCTTGAGGAGGAAAACAAGACAAAACCCATAGAGACGAAGCTGATCTCTGAGGCTGCAGGACTCTTCAAGGTAAAAGACACACAATACAGTACTTAATCTCCATCTTGGCTCTGTGTAAATGTGTATAAAATAGTCTTAGGTAATTTTGTGTGATAGGGATCGAGAGTGTTTATGAAGTAATTGATTCCTGTATGAAAGTATATATTGTTCTGTATAAAGTAATCCAATAAAAATTTAGTGTTAGGGACCAGTGACAAAAAATTACCAAACACTCGAGCGATTTATTTTCTTACTAAACACAAGTAAGAAATGTACAGAATTCTAGTACACTGTGGGAAAATAGTTATAAAAAAGTAAGAAATTTGCTTACCCAAAAAATAGCACAATACATCAAAGCCTCTGACTGACCCAGCGTCCCACAGATTTGGCGTACAACAGACTCAGTTCCTGATGTCATATTCAGCCTCTATCAACGCCCCTACAAAAAGCAAGAAGGTTTTAGCACTTTCAAAAAAATAAATCATAGATTAGTATTTATGTTTCCTGGGCACCTGAGTAAACCAAAAATTATTGTTATGGGTTTCTTGCACCACCCTCTATCATTTTGTCAATTATCCATTCACAGTTTTAGTCAGCTGTATCAGCCTCCTCAGTGAGTCACACAGCTTAGCTTGGCACGTTTGATGATGATGCAAGCCTTGACTTGCTGTCACTAGCTGGCTTTGTCATCTCTCTAAAGCAACTGAGCCTGGATTTCCATTGTCTTGGCCCAAATCATTGGACCATTCAGTATAGCTTTACATCATTACATGCTCACTATCCATACCTCCAAAGCATCCTCCATTTATTGGTATAGGGGCAGCCGTAAATGCTGGATGGTCTTGGATATGGATGGCTTTATATATCCTGCATGAATTTTGTCAGCCTTCAGTCTGATGCCATGAATCATGCTTTCATTTACTGTATGCCTTTTCAGTGTGCCACAGCAGTCAAGTTCATCCCAAATTTTAATTTTTCTAAATTAATTATCTTTGTCTTCTTTTTCTCACTTAAAAAGCAGCTGCTAAGAGTTTAAACATCTTAGTAAGTGGTGTACATGATACACTGGAGTGGAATTGTGAGGGTAAAAGGAAGTATTCTTGATTTTGAGTGAGCACAGGCTGAGTGCACGCATTACTGTAGCTGGAGAAGTGCTGTACTGTACATGTGTTCCATACTGTAGTTGTATTGGCGTTGTGGTGATATAAAGTGGTTGCAGCCTTTAATTATTTAACTTTCTTGTAATATTTAGGAAAACTGTAGTACAGTCTCTCCTCGACTTATGACGGGGTTCCGGACCGACGACCAGGTCGTAAGTCGAAAAGGCGAAAATAATACATAGAAAATCTAAAATGAAATACGGTACAGTAAAAGTAATCAGTAATGAAAAATGAATAAAGTGTTACTGTGCACTTACTTTTAATGTAGTCAGCTGAATGCACACTGGGCCTCAATAATTTTTTAATTAAACATGGAGACTACATTAATTGGATGAAGTGGAGGAGAAGACAGGGCTGGGTGGATCATCAATTTCGCTTTCTTCAGACAGGCTAACATACTTGCTTGTTGAAGGTATTGGATCATTTTTAGGGAGTGAAGAGGCAGCAGTGGTGGGGTGTGAGGAGACAGCAGTGGAGGACTTCTTAAAATATATGTCCAATTTAGACTGCACAGTTTGCCTTTTCTTTTCATTGTAAATCTCCCTGTAGCAAGCAAGTGCATCTTCGATCAGTCTGTCAACTTTTGCAAAATGCTCAACATTTTGATCCATTTCTTCAAACATTTGCATCCCCTTATTAATAGTAGCAAATGCCTCTGCCTTGTCCTTCAAAATTGTTGATATCGTCGAGTGAGAAGCCAAGGTCTCGTGAAATGGTTGCCACTGTTTTTCCATTTTCATATTGCATTATTATTTTCGTTTTCATCTCAAAAGTAATTGACTGTCTCCTTTTCTTATCAGCACCATGAAAACTCTCACTTTTACGCTTGCCAGCCATTTTAAAGGGAATTGGAAACAAAAATTTTGTCAGTACACAGCTCGATCATTAACAACAACGACGGCCAAACACCAACTGAGTGGGCTACGACGTGGATGCTGTACACCACGAGGCGGTCCAGCCCACGCTGTTGTATGGAACGGAAACGTTTCGGTACTAGAAAATACGTAATTTGAAAAATATTTTTTACGACTGCGGCGGTCGTATGTCCAGGCGGTCGTAAGCCGAGGAGTACCTGTGTATAATTTAGGTAGCTCCAAAGTAAAAAAGAAAAATGTATATTAGATCAAGAAATTACTCGATGCTACTACAGTATATGTGCAACCCTCTCAACCACTTGATAAACACAACCATCTGATAATCATAATAAAAGGCTATTTATTGCTTGTAAATGCCTATTCTGACCAACTTAGTCTCTGCATGATTATAATAAACTTTGAAAACCCTCCTTGGCCCTTAAAACTTCTTGGAGCTGCCTCAGATGTGGCCAGTGTACAGTACTACTGTATGGGGGTTTACAAGATGGAGCAAGGTTCAGGCTTTGATTACAAGCTTATAATGGTACACTTAGTATTTGTGATTGAAACTAAGATACATTTAAACCTGAAGAACAATCATTGTTATTTATTAGACAGAGAAACATTTAAACCTGAGAAAAATATCTGCTATTTAATATTTTTCTAGGCTGAGGAGGTGGCTAAGAAGTTGGTCGACGATGCTCTGAGCGGATGTTTCACAAGCACTGTTGGTTTTGAAGGCTTCATGTTAACTACTTTGTGTGCTGGCATGGGGCCCATTACTGATGCAGTGTCCTTTGTGGCACAGGTAAGCAAATGCATGGGTTATTTGACAGATCTTTCCTTCTTTTAGAGAGATGTGCTTTACCTATTAATACAGTGAACCATATTCTACCATTACTTGTCCTGTGTGTGTGTAAGGGTGTGGGGGGTGTTAAGAATTTCCAGCTAGAAATCTCCAACCTAAGATAAGTTTTTACATTCAAACCTTCAAGAACTAAAGTACCTGGTGAGTGTATCAATCTTCTTTTGGCAAGTAAATTTATTCATATGGTTCTCTCGTCAACTACCATCCTTGTCCATACTGAAAGAATATAATTAAATAATGGGTTGCATATACACTGTACCTGTATCAATTGCTGCTTAACCTTACAATATTGATCAGTTTTTACTTGAGTGAAAGATTTTGGCTGGAAGTTCAGGTGAATGTGATAGATATCTCTACATGGCTCTGATGACCAGGTGTGTTTCAGGTGTTCTTGAGCGGTGTGTTCCGTTCTGTGTCAGCCTTCTACCTGTGGAGCTTTGCCAGGATTGTTGAGAAGGAGCATCAGAAGAGACTGGCCAGCAAGAAAACAGAATAAAGGAGATTCTGGCAGAGAGAGACAGAGAGAATGGATAAAGAGGAGGTTAATCAAGGGTGAATAGTTAGGTAATGTAAGATTTATCCATGTTGGAGGTATTGTTAGATATTAAGAAGACAAACTTTTGAGACAATAAAAACTGCATTTAGCCTACATCAATGTTTTAGATTTGAGAATAAGAGAAAGTGATGGGGAGAATGGCGAAGATGATGGGGGATGGAGAGAAGGGTGAAGATGGTGGGGATGGAGAGAATGGGGAACGTGATGAAGATGGAAAGCATGAATAATGGTGTCATCTGTTTGGTATCTCATCCAGAATAAGAGAAAGTGATGGGGAGAATGGCGAAGATGATGGGGGATGGAGAGAAGGGTGAAGATGGTGGGGATGGAGAGAATGGGGAACGTGATGAAGATGGAAAGCATGAATAATGGTGTCATCTGTTTGGTATCTCATCCAAAAGTGCATAAAGCCAAGTCCTACCTTAGACAATACAAAATAAATGACTCTTATTCTGAAATCCATTACAACATTCTGTAGTATTTATGTGCCGTGAATTACCAGATATAACAGACTACAAACTACATCTAAGACTGTTTGTTTAGATCGAGTTGGTTCATCGATGCTATCAGTAATGGCAATATTGTATGCAGACTATACACAGCTGTAGGAAAGTAATTTAGAACTGGGCTTTGATCTATAGCAATGAGTTTTTTTGTTTTAAGGGGAGACAGTTCTATGGTTCTATCTAGTCAAGAACCTCATGTGTTGTGGTAACTGGTTGTGTTTATGGTATCTTGAGTTAGTTGAGGGGGTTAATAATACTGATAACTGATATGTGATACTGTATTATGCATTGGTTTAAGACATCATTATCTCTAGCAGGACTGAATATACTGTATTAAAGGTTTATATATGCTATGTTACACTGTCAAACCTGATAGAGAATCCTTCAGTTCTCAGTATATGTACATAATTAGGTTGGAATGGTCAAAGTTGTATAGTGAGACCTCCATATAATGAACTTCTCTCACCATGTAATCCGTTAGATGGGGTTTTCATATCTAACGGACCCTCGATATTATGGACGGTCTTCTCCATATTGTCCATTAAATAAAGATTCCATTGTATCGAGATAAGCCAAAAATAATACAGGAAATACAGCAGCTTAAGATGAATGCGTATAAACTGTAATACATGTACTGTCTCTTTAATAGTTACAGCGTATGTCTCTTTGGTTATTCCAGTGATCAGGATACAGAATATGTTGGTACAGTAATTATGTATCTACTGGTATCTTGTATTATCCTTTAAAGAATTAGTACTGCTTTTTTCAATTGATTTTTCTTAATGTTTCACCTCTCTACCTTCCTTCATATTTTATTCCTGCTTTCATATCACCTATTGTCTCATTACTTCATTCCTTCCTTCATGTCACTTCTTATCCCAATACTTCATTCGTTCTTTCATGTAATAGTTGAGGAATCTATCATCTTTCATTCCCTATTGGAGGTTCGTAAAGGTATTGACCAATAGAAGAGCCATCAGGCATCTTTGTCATTATAGCACAGTCCTTCATTTATCCTCTCTCTCTTCTCCTCCTTTTCTCCTTCATTATCTCCTTTATGTATTGGTTCTATTTTCCTTCCCATTCATATTATCATCAGTAATTCCTAAACAGTTGCTGTAGCTCGTGGTAGAGAAGACAATATTTTCTAGTACCTGTAGTAGCTTATACATAGTTGGATTGTAAGGTGTATCATACACTGGTTATATCTCAACGGCTGTCAGGAAAACTGTATGTAGAATATAGTATAGATATTTACAAGGTGCTTTTCACCTCTTAGTAACGGTGTGATGCAATTACACCGCCCCCCCCTCCCCAAGTGACAAAATATCAAAATGGAGACTGTTGTTTGTAGGACGTTTGCTGTTACAGTATATCTCAAGATTTAGCTTTTGACCCCTTGTGTATGGGGTCCCCTCTCAGCTGAATAAAATAGTCTACTGTTAGCCAAATAGACTATTAAATCTTGAGTCCCATTAGTGAAGAGGTTAGTGGTGATAGTCTACTAACCCCCTGTGTACGGGATTCCCTTTGAGCCGAATAAAAGACTCTGTCGTTAGCCAACTAGAATATTAAAAGTGGCCTCCCCATAGTGAAGGGGTTAGACCTGCAGTGCATACAGCTTACGGGCTTCAACTTGCTCACCCCTAGCTAGTCCTCACTTAAGTACAGAAGACAAAAAATACTATTTGTGGTAACTCAACTGACCTTACAAAAAATGGTGATATTTGTTCAGGGAAAGTTTACGTAAAAAGATATATTAAGTCATCTCTTGAATGCTGTTGTGCTGAAGGGGGCCAACCCATATATGACCCATCTAATGCCATCTTTTCCCATACTTCAAATGCATAAATTAACTCACTGTTTTGTTAGGTAAGAGAAATATGTATTGTTTTTTAAAGGTGCCTTCTTAAATGATATAGGGTGTGGGATATAAAATTGTTCTATAAGTTCATAATCACATGTGGTGTGTAAGTGTGTTAGGTCTTTTGGTCTTCCTTCCTCCTTCATGGAACAAGCTAAATCAGTCAGTGAATTATGAAACAGATTGTACTATTAACCTCAAATTACTTTAAGGAGTTAATGGAAATAATTAGGATGTTATTTCTCTCTGCCTGTTGGCATACCCTAAATTTTTTGAGAATGTCACTGCAAACTTTTTTTACTTTCATTCTTTTTTCTTCCTTCTTCTTTCTTCTTCTTTTCCTTCTTCTTTTTTTCTTCTTCTTCTAGACCTATTTATGTTAGGTGGCTTTAGTTACGAGATGATCATTATTTATGTTTGTGTTTCATCCCAGGATTTTTGCAGCTCACTCTTTGTATCCTGTATGTAAGTGGTTCCTGGTGAGGGCACTGGTTGTGTTAATGTGCCACAGCCTAACCTAACCATACCTAATATAACCTTAGGAATTGGGGGCTGAATATTAACTGCTAGGTTAGTTTGGGGGCTAATCGGACTAGGGGACCATTTAACCACTTGCTCTACTGTATAAGAATTGTGATGATCGGAATGGAAGTTATATCGTGTGAATATGCTTCTGTGTCCCCTTGTATACAATTATTCTTTCATTTTGTTTATATGAGGAAGGTTACCTGTATCACAAAACTTGTTATTGGGAGTAATTTCATGTATTTTGGTGTGGTAATGTGTTTAGGATAAGTAAATTGTATTGTCTGAAAATAAGATACATTTTTACAGTAGCAAATAAGAGAGATGGCAGTTTTAATGTCATCTTTGGTTTGGCATCATGAAAATGTATAGATCTCCTAAAGAAATCTCCGCCCCAGCGTATTTCACATGGAGATTAACCTCCCTAACCTAACCTCTTCATCCCAGATAGTGTTAGGATGGTTAATTTTTATATGAATTAAGCTCGGGTGGAGATTCTTAAGGTGATCCAAATGTACTGATCTTTAAATCAACGTGCCATATGACGAACCCTTCAAACGGCCTCATTTTTAATTGGCTGTGAGTTCAAGTGTGATGTACTTTTCAAATTGGACGAACTTATTTCCCATTGAAAACTATTTTCTCTGAACATCTATCAGGTAAGAGAATAGAGAGATCTTGGTGGCATAGAGATTTGTTGTGTCTTCTATGTCATTGTTGGGAGATGACCCTTGGAATCCCCACATGCTCATTGTATTATATTTGCCTCCCATCTTCAGGTGTAAATGAGAAGACTACATTACTTTGATAATAATATTATCTTGCTGAATATGAAAGAGGCTCTGATACATATGCTTTACAGTTTCTATAGCAGTTTTTCTCTCTTATTTACTGAGCCTGCTTTGAGATGCTTTGCTACTTGCCTTGTATTTAGATGTATTCTGTAACAGTTAGATGTATACATGATTTTGCATTTTTTTCTTCACCGTAAGATTGTAAATTGACCTTCATTTATTTCAGTTACATTTTTTGTGAACAATTGGCCAGTAAACTGTTGCATTACTTCTTAAGGACTATTATATGAATTTATTTGTACTATTAACTCGGGTTTGGATATTCATGGGGCGGTAATGACAGTCTGAACACAAAAGAAGGGGCACAACACAGAGGCCAAGAAGCTAATGTGTTTTCTATGGGATATCTCAGTCAGTCAGGGGATAACACCTCTACCCACCTTGAAATTCCATGCCTGGTAACTTTACACTACAGATCGATCACCGATTTTCTGGTAAAGTTTGGACCAGCAGCACTTTACCCATGGACCAGTGATTGCCGGATAATCGATGGTCAACCTGTATGGGCTTGTGCTTAATGTGTTTATATATTTTTAATAATACTGATGGGAGTGTAATTTTTTTTTATACTTTTAGTAGGAGAAAATCATTAACTTTATTAATTTTATTATTATTATCATCCCTATGTTATTGTCATCTTCATCATTAACCCTGTATTATTATTATTAGGATGCCACATTTAATTTCTGGATTTGGAATATTAAACTTTATATAAAATGTACTTTATTCATATCCCCAGGGGAAAATTATAAGAATCACTTCACCTTTTGACAACAGATGTGTAATAATTTGTGTTTTTTTATTTTTTGTCTGTAGAAATCTTTGTCATGTATCCCTCTTCCTCTCTTCTGCTTCCTCTGGTTATTACCCCTCACCTGTTAGTCTTCTTCATCTTTCTCCTCTCCCTCATCTGTTATTCTTCACCTTTTGTCCCTCTCTCCCTCACCTTTCTGTACTCCTCATCATTCTCTCTCCCCCTTACATGTCACTCTCCTCTCTCACTTTTTCTTCTCTCCCTCACCTTTTCTTCTCTCTCCCTCACCTTTTCTTCTCTCCCTCACTTTTCCCTCTCTTCCTCACATTTCCCTCTCTCCCTCACCTTTCCTTCCCTCCCTCTCTTCCTCCAATAATTGATGTTAACCTTAGGGAAATAATAATACAAAGGAACTGTTATAGTTTAATGTAGTTATGCCGCCACAGTGATGCCCTGTCAAATGGGTTTAGACCCTTATAGATCCATACAGCACCTGGCCATTAGGTTGATTGAGAAGGTATAATAGGCTTTACTTTAATCCTTATGGTTGGGATAAACTTCTGATAGATCCTAATTGGAGCTTTAACCTATTGTGTATGGGGGGAGGGTCACTATGTGTTAATGTAATAAAATGTTTAAAGTGTTGTCCATATAGTGAAGGGGTTAAAGGTCTAAACTCATTTGATCTGCAACCAATCCAGTTAGTTTATATAAAGTAAATATGAATGTCAGTTAGTTGAGATATATCCTGTACTGTAGTGTAATGTGGCTATAGTTCTCAGGGCTGCAAACCTCAGAAAAAAAAATATTTGTTATTCTTTTTTTACATTGATATCAATATTTTGTAGAAAATTTTAGTATAGGTACTCCTGAACATCCTGATTTCCGGGATAATTAGTGGTAGTGATGATGCTTGGGAGATTTTAATTAAATTTTTAAGTGCTAATTACGGTATTGTGTTTAATGTGATCATTCTTTTTGTTTTCCTCACATCTCAAACCTTTGGGGCATATAGCCATGAAAGTGTCTACCTGTCAGTGACTAAATTGGTTTCCACACAATGGATACCCGCAGACATCATCATCATCATAGACTCGGGGAAGTTATGTACAGTGTGATGATAAACTTTCTTAATACTGTCCAGGCTCTTAATTTAGATAGTTAATTATTTATGTAATTACCACAAGTTAATTTAGTTACAATATTTGTTTTAATACTTTATTATTTTATCATTTAGCTTATTAGCCATATGGGCAATTAGTCTTTTTTGTAAATTTGTTATCAACTGTACTGTCCAGTGTTGGTGTAGTTTATAGAAATATTTGATCAGGGATGGACTAAGGACTGCCATGTCTTCACTTTATGACTCTATTGGGAAGCCTTGATTTTGCTGTCATTGTACATAAGATGAAGTCTTGATTTTGCTGTATAGTAGACAAGAAGCCTTGATTCAATTGGGAAGCCTTGAATTTGTTGTAATTGAAGATAAGAAGCCTTGATTTTGCTGTCATAATAGTTAGGAACCCTTGATTTTGCTTTCTGTACATAGGAGGAAGCCTTAATTTTCCTGTCATAGTAGATAAGAACCCTTGATTTTCCCGTTACATTCTCATTACAGGACATTTGTGTTTCAACAGCTGTAAAAGAGGCACAGTAGATGGTATATTCAGAGATGTGCTGTGCTGCCTCTCATTACCTATCACAGCAAAGGTAGGTGGAGAGTACAGCAGGCTAGAGTTGAACACCACTGCCTCTCATTACCTATCACAGCAAAGGTAGGTGGAGAGTACAGCAGGCTAGAGTTGAACACCACTGCCTCATAGGGTCCTTGGCACGGTACTTGGATATCCTGATGCGAATAAGCTGGTTGATTTCGAGGCGTGGACGAGGTTTGGGTTCGCAGTAGTTTCTAGGGAGAGAATGAAAGAGATGTTGGTGAGATAGTGAGGTAGAGAGATATTGGTAGAGTGAGAGAGATTGGTGAGAAATAGTGAGGTAGGATGAAAGATTAGTGAGAGATTGATAAGTGTGAGAGATATTGAGGAGAGGGAGAGATACTGAGGATATAGTGAGAGATACTGATGAGAAAGTGAGAGATATAAGGTAGAAACAACTTACCTTCAAGAGTGGTTTTAGGATAGGGATCTGCTCTTCGTTGGTGACCGGCCATGATAGCTGTGCCTGTGGACGGTACTTGGCTGTTATAGTAGAAGACACTGATCTATTTCAAGTTTAAAATAAGTCAATTTAATAATTGCCAACCAAACCTAACCTAACCATTGAGATTGGGGTTTTTACGTTTGGTAGGTGTGTGTGTGTGTGGATGATATTAGTTTAGTTACAGTGTGTATGTGTGTGTTTATGTGAAAGTATGCTGGCGTATATATACATTAACCTGTCTATTTATGATATACGTGTGTATTTTTTGTGTAATTATTATAAGGATTGTGTTGTATAAATGATCTAACATCAGTCAGCTGTTGAAAAATCGACCTCGAGTAAACCCTGACACATGTGTTCCTCAGATAATGGGACCAGTAGTTATGTAACTGGCATCCCTTCGTCCCTTGACACAATCAATGTTCCTCGACGCCTATTGGTTCTCGCTGCTAGTGAACACCTGTTAAGCCAGGTGGTGACACGTGTGGTCGTTGGGGTTGACTATGCCTAGCCACATAGTCCCTCGTCGGCTGATCAGCTTAAATAGTTAATATTATTGTTGATCAATGAAATTATCGTCTATGAATGCTGGCTTTAAAGTTCATATAAAAATTTGGTCAACTTTCTTTTCAATAAAAACAATGAGTTATAAGAGGTGGTTAAATGTTCAGTCGTAATATATCGACAAAATCATTTGGTATATCATGAAATTGTCACCTCGGAATGAAGACAAATATGAGTATCTGTATAAATTCAATCTTATCAATATAAATAAAAGCGTGCTGGTGTACTGTATAACATTCAGGGGAAAGTGTATTGTTCCCTGTAGAGGTGCGGGTGTTAAGTGTTTCCTGAGCTAACCACTCATATATTTAACTCTACCCAGAAAAGTATAATTCTCAGTGAAATAATTTATAACTGCATGAAAATACAAGTTCATTACACTGCTTTAGCGACAAAATTGAAGTTTAAAGAAAATTCACCCTAACTTCAGACGGTAGCTTGATTTTGGCGGGAAATGTGAGTAGAGTTTTGCTAATTCAGTCTAATTCATCCAGTATAAAATTCTTATACACATTGCATTATACTACTTTATGATTACAATTAAAAATATCGAGTATTATTGATAAATAGATATATTTTAAAGGTAAATAGAAAAATAATGGGGTTTTGGAAGCTCGTGTGATGGAACTGCTGACGTCTGATGGCGGGAAATTGTCGCCTGCTTAAGCTGTCTGCGGTGTCCTCTTAATTTTGCATTTAGTGAGTCCTGGAGGCTTGATTATACTTGTGATTAACCCTAACAGCGTTCAAGCACTAGGCGATTGATCAGTGCACTCTTTAGACGGTCAAGGTAAGTAATTTTATCGTAATTAGTAGATTTGAAGTGTACTCTGTTGTGACGGGTATTTCACCTGATTCTCGGCTCAGCGGAAAATTTTTTGCGGGGTTATTATTAAAGTTTATATGCAAGGATGTTTTATGAGCACAAACATTCATGTGTATTGAATATATATATATATATATATATATATATATATATATATATATATATATATATATATATATATATATATATATATATATATATATATATATATATATATATATATATATATATATATATATATATATATATATTATGTATTCTATAACTTGTATATGTATATTTGTTAAGACGTTTATATTTGATAAAAAAAATAAGTTTCTTCCCAAATTTGAGCCACTGAGCCAAAACATGTATGAAAAAATAAGGTTTAAGATACGGAACAGGGAAGGTGTGGGAGAGGGGGTGGTAGTTACGTGTGCAATAAGATAATTATAAAATGAACGAAATATGTGTGGATTGTGTAAAGGTAAGTACTATAACATTCAGTATTTTGCATGGATTTTCATTAGCATGTGTATATATTTATTCAACAGTATCTGATATCATAGTGAACATTGAGTTTGATTGTTTATTTTTTATTCGAATATTTTACAATAAATTTTATGCCATGTTCGTATCTCCAGTATACAGTAATTGCTAATTAATGTATACGTGGGTTATGCATATGTATATACAGGTATTTGTATTTGCACGGTCATATTAATACATATACTGTACTGGACCCACAAATTATATGTATGTATTATATGAAAACCTGATGCGAAGGTTATATTAAAAGTCAAAACTTACGTGGTGGTAAAATATATCTGTACCACTTATTTATATATTATATATACCTGTATTCGTTTTTTTTCTGTATATATTTATGTTCATGATTCGAGTTAATATTATGTTGCTTTTAGAACCCAAATGATACATGTCCTCTACACACACACACAGGTTACATAGTATCATAAACTTACCAAGGCCAGAAACACACCAACCACCACATCGTAGACGCCCGCACCTCCTCCCACCACTTGTAATGCTTCCGGAACAATGAGGACGAGAGAATGGTGTGGGAGCTATTGACACCCAGCCACGTACACCTGTTGTAGAGGAAGGGAAACTTGTGTACAAGTGTATCGGGACAAAATCATGGGTTGGATCACACAAGTCGAGTCATTCATGGTTTGTTGTTTAAGGAGATTTGTGTAGTACAGTATAATGAAGCACATTTATTAGATTAAGAAGAAAAGTGATAGGGATGGGCACCATTGTTTTGAAGAAAGGTAGATTGATGCATACAGGTATAGATACACATACATACATAGGTTGTCAGATGCATACAGTGGACAATTACAGGGAAATAATTATGTGCATGTGTGTTTGCTCATGATTTGGTCACCCTGCATTCTAGTGTAAAGTTTGTTAGGGTGTAAAGTTTTGGCAAGTAGTGGTCTCAATATTTCAGTAAAAATCACATTCCTCCCTGATAGGTTGTTAATTAAAGACACTGTGGTGGCAGTAATGAGTGTAGTTTATCAGAACACCGAGTGGTGCTATCTATAGAACGGATTTATATGATTACTTGTATTTAAAAGTTCACACTTTTTAATCCGAGTGGAACAGGATGTGTACGTCATTGCACTGAATAAAGCAGCATTTAGTAATTTTTCATGCAGCTATAAATAGAATCTAGTTCATCCTAAACCCATTATCTTTTTATAAACAGATTCAACCCTGCATAGCCACATAACAGCTTCTTTTTAAAACACTTTACCAGGATATATCTTTGTAACTCACTTGCAGCTTACCCCTGGCTTTCCTCCCATCCATATTCTCTTACAAACAAATCTTTATATGAAGGATACAAATTATAAACAAAGTAATCTAAACATAGGGCTTTATTGGCTTATTTAGATTTTTCAGAGGACTTAGAGTCACGCATAGAAGAGCGCCGGCGACGGATCTCTTCTTGCCTCTTTTCCTTAGCTTCCTTCTGTCGCACAGCCAAAAGTTTTGCATAATCAGCCTTCTCTTCCTTATTTTTGACAGCACGTTGACGCTTAAGGGCCTTCTTATGTCTTTTACGCTGTAAAAAAAAAATATATATGTATATGTATTCAATTTTGAACAAGTCAAATCAGGTAGACCAACATTAGTACCCAATACACATTAGCTATATGTTCCATGACTCACCTGGAGTACAACTGGAGTGATGAGCCTCTGGATCTTGGGGGCCTTTGTCTTGGCCTTCTTGCCTTCCTTGCCAGAAAGAGGGCGCTTGATCACATACTGACGCACATCATCCTGCTTGCTCAAGTTGAACAGCTTCCTGATCTTGGATGCACGCTTGGGCCCAAGACGACGAGGGACAGAGCCGTCAGTCAGCCCTGGAATTTCCTGTAGAAGATTTTGCAAAAATGATGTCATTACCATCTTTTGACAGATCAAAAGGAAGGTCATGATAAAGAGCATATCTACAGTATGCTTGTTAAGTATAAAAAGCATATACCTCTGTACTGTATCGTTCAAGAAGATTTTAAAGCATCACCCCCATGGCAATGATTAAGGATCCTACCTCATGTCAAGCACAGCAGAATCTATTCATATATGGTTTAAGAAATCTAATAACTGAACTCCCTGTGGTCAAAATGCACATGAAACCTATGGCAGACCCCCCCTGATTTTAAAGGATGCCATCCAAGCTCAAGTTGGGTGAGAGGTACTGTGACTCCGAGGTTTTGGAGCACCAACAGCACTGCAACTTAGTTTTAATATTAAGATTGAGCAATGAAGAAGTACTGCAAACATCACCCCAAGTCATGTCAAAGGGAAGAGAATTAGTAAGTTAAATAAATTATTACATGTAACAGAAGAGGCAAAACAAGTATTACCAGAGACAATTCATAGTATATTAAATCTCAAGTTATCCAAACACTTAAAAGAAGGAAAAAAAAAAAAACTAACCCCTTCACCCTTCTTGACAATAACCAGAGCAAGTACAGAGAGGTTGGAGTCCACGATGCAACCACGGACTGACTTCCTCTTGCGCTCACCAGTTCTGCGGGGACGGTAGCAGGAGTGACCCTTGGACAACAAGAGACGGACACGATCTGAGGGCAAGACACAGTTAATTAAAGAGTATTAAACTGCAGGCACAAACAATATTATCTGTACAATTAACGTACCTTTCCTGTATTAATCAACGTTTTTCTAAACATTCCACAACCACCACCACTACTATGAACATAAATTACAATTCATTTACTGTAAACAGTTTACTTGCAGCTCGACTGAACTGCACCAAATCAAGATTACTTACTGTTTGTGAGGACACCCTGTTTCATGGGAAAGCCCTGCTTGTCATTGCCACCAGCAATGCGCATCACGTAACCCTTCCATTCATCACCGAGGGTGTCTGCCTCCACCTCCTGGCCCATACGTTTTTCATTGAAGATGCGTACTTTCTTCTCATCATCAAACTCAAACAGTTTTTGACACCCCGTTGCGGGGAACGACACGTTTAACTGTAAATAAATACATATCTGGTGAGCATTGTTTCAGAGAAGCGTTGCATAACAAACAGAACCAATACAAAGGGATGGACTATTCCTTCGGCCATTTTACCTAAACACATGACCCAAAACATATGTAAAGGACACATACCTGGATGACTGGTTAGATTAAGTTATGGTTATTATTTCATAGCTTTAAATCACTAATTGTGCTCTCAAACACTTTATAATGCAGTGCAAATCCCAGACTAATTAACGTACTGAAATGGACCACCGCGTTCATCACCCAATGACAAGCGACAGTTTCTTGTGTCTCACCCAAAGTGAATCACTATACAGCTGTGCACTCAAATGCTGTGTCATGATATCTATATTTCTAGGGATTTAATAAAAGAATCTCCAGCAGTAAACTAAAGCACATTAATTTAAGTGGTGGTTCCTCAATATCTAAGTATTCAACATATGAACATGCCACGGATGTTAAATTTACCTTTATGTAATATAGAATGTAAAACTTGACCATTCTCTGTAGCTTAAGTAAATTTTAAAGTCATACTGCAAACGTGGCATTATCCCCAATGTAGTTATAATAAATTTCACAGGTTTTTCATTCTTAAGCAAGAGTTCTGCCTAAGATACTTGAATTCCACACCTTGAAAATTCATAAATACTAAAGGTCAAGAATTGGGATACTGTACTGTTACATGGACAACACTCTTTTACCGAGGTTTTCCACAAACCATTGCACGTGGAGTAACATTCACCATGGGCCACTATACATCCCCTCGAGTTGAATCTGTAACTAAATCTACAGTACGTACTTTTTAAAAACAGCTTTTTTTTTCAGTGTTTTAACTATATCTTTATTCATTTCTTGATTGTTACTCATTTTGGGAATTCCCCCTCTGGAGTTAATTCTGGCCACCTAACTTACAGCAGTGTCAGTGGAGTCATGTATAAATTCAGTGCATCTGAACTTATTTTCTATGGTTTTTCCATTTTAGTTAACAGTGGGTAGTGTGATCTAGGCCCAAATCAGATGCATCTGATAGCCCACAAGGCTAGTGGACGGAACTTAGGAGGTTGATAGGTCTGGTTCACTGTTTCCGCATTTCTGCTTATAAATAAGTAGTATTAAAAATATGTCGATATTTATACTAAGAATCCTCATATACAGCATGTATTGACTTAGGAACCCCTGGTACAATATACTGTACATCATGAGCTTCTGTGCACAGGTGTGTTTAGTTATTAACCTCAACCCCAACTTTAGTTACCCATGCTCACCAAAGGCCATGTATTAAAAAAAAGTACACTGTGGACATTTGTCCGCTTCTCAGTTTTGTTTTGTTTTCATTTTTTAGAATGACACAGGAAAGAATTGATTGAGTTGGTCAATTATTATATTTTTTAAGGCTAACACCAGAAGGAATTGATAGAATGTCAAAACTCTGAGGATACGTTAATTACAATCTATTAAATAGATACATAGGAACGACAATCCATTCTTGAAGCGGCACGGTGTAATGTTATATTTTTGTGGACGTGAGAGTACGCTCGGTCCAAGCCCCCAGCTAGGAAGTTAGGTAGGTTTCACTGGATGGTTAGGTCAGGTTCTATTAAATTCTAGTATATGTCGCCTCTTTTAAAATACTAATAATCATAAGTACATCTCTGGAAAAATATAACGAAATTCAACAACTTCTGGCGGCAGTGCTTATTTTCAGTTATTACCATTTTATCTTTACCAGAGGCTAGTTACAACAATTATAACTCTTTGTTCTTTAACACCTACCTCACAAACGACTTATATATTTCGGGGAGTCCTGGAGGATGCAGCCCCCAGTTAGGAGATTAAGTTAGGTCATTTGTGAAAAATTCCACATAAAACATCATTAACAGCATAGTGGTTTAGAGTGGCCAAGGCGCCCTCATAGTAAGTTCACCACACAAGCTAAAAAAATATTATGTAAGTTTTGTTTTAATATTTCACAAGTTATACTCGATATTTGTATGTATGTATGAATTTCTACCTAATAAAATTATTCAGTCCATACGCGTCACTACCACACCAGCCAGGGCAAGATAATACAAATTTGAACCACTATCTATAATATAACCCCCATTCGTAAAATTATTCTTACCCCAGGATTTCTAAATTTTCACGATAATTTACAGTCATATATTAAAAACCCAGACTTTATATAAATATGGTTTAAATTGTCAATGCTCAAAAGGTGTTTACAATATGAGCCACACGCGGCTCTAGTTCTTCACATGGTGTAAACACTACATCTTTCTCCTGATTTACCGCTATAAATCGCCTAATATCACCAATTCAGCAAGTGGGCTTATTCATGGTGGTCTATTGCTCATATTTTTAGTAAAATAATATGCCTAGATGGAGAGGAAAAGGGAGAAAACAGTAGTTAATGTACCTTCATGTCGCCGGGCTGCCTCCTCCACACCACGAGACACACGGGAAAGGATCTCGCAAAGCCCGAGACTGTGGCCACACACCTTTCTGAAATAAACTAATCATGGATTTTAAACTATTTTATTAAAAATAATATAATGAATTTTGATACTAAAAATATTTATACATTTTATAGATAAATTAGTAATGATACATGTTATTTTATGTTAAGAAATGTTCATAACATTTTAGAAAAGCCTATAAATGCACTGCCTTAAGGGCAAGCGTAAAGTATTTTCAGAAATTTAATCTTTCAAAGGGAGAAATTAATTAAATTTATGTATAGTTAAATAACCTATAATATATAGCATTAAATCTGGTTTAGTTAGGTTCCTATTACTTGTAACTCAAAATAGCTTTCATTATATTGAGCTTTAGCATAAATTGCTAAATTTATTTATTTTACATTGAGTTCAGTTAAGATTAGGCTACGTTAGATAAGGTTTAGTGGGGGTCAAGAAGACAATATTGCATGCATATCTTTCTCCAAAACAGTGTATTGAAGGTGTAGTAAATGTTTATCCTTTAGCTTCATTGGATTACCTGAAGATTAGACACCCCAGTTTATTTCACCTGATTATTGAACACTAACGCGACCTTGGGATTAGGTAAGGTTAGGTTAAATTAGGTTAGGCGTTGTTAGGATGGGGTGTTTGATCATCAGGTGTAATAAACTGGGATGGCTAATCTTCAGGTGATCAGTTTAATGTTATCTCAGCCCTTGGCCATAAAAATATTTAACATGCAGTAACCGTAAAATTGGTTAGGTTAGGTTAAGGTCGTGTCAGGTAAGGTTGGGTTATGCTAGGCTAACGCTGTGTCTTGCCATGTCATTTCAGATTAGGGTTAAATTAAATTAAGGTTGTTAGGTTAAGGTTATGTTAGGTTAAGGTTATGTTAGGTTAAGGTTATGTTAGGTTAAGGTTATGTTAGGTTAAGGTTATGTTAGGTTAAGGTTATGTTAGGTTAAGGTTGTTAGGTTAAGGTTGTTAGGTTAAGGTTATGTTAGGTTAAGGTTGTTAGGTTAAGGTTGTCAGGTTAGGTTAATATGTAATGGTGTTTTACCCCTCAATTATTCCCTTAACTGACCCAACACTAAACACCTGCCGTCCCTCAGCTCTGGTTCTCGTTGTTGTCATTTACTCAACCAAGAGGCATCCATCACTCACCTAAACCACCTACAGTAAAACCTCTATTTATCGGACTATATGAAGAGGTAAATCCGTTATATAGAGGTGTCCATTAGTTGTAATACCTTCATCTAACGAACTACATAGATATGAAAGTCCAATATATTTAGGGTCTGTTAGATATGAAACCATGTAACGGATTATAATGGAAAAAGTAATTATATGTAGGTTTCACTGTATATAATAACACAACAAATTAATCCTATAAAAACGTTGTAGATTTAGTAACTATAATCATCAGGCTTCTCATTTGTAGTTAAATTCAATGTAAAAATTAATCAACATTTCGTAACGTAACAATTGATAAACTAACTTAATACATTTCCGAGGGTCTGGCTCTAGTAGACTGGTTCCCTGTTGTTAATATTTGTGGCCAACAGGTATGGACCGACGGACCTCAGAGGAGGCCATAAATCGATATTGTGTTTTGTTTTGTTTTTAGTGTTGTTAGTGATAATTAAAAGCAAAAACAGGACGATTTTCACCTATAACACTTTTGGCGTATTTCACCCATAACCAAAATATCGGGAGTTGAAAATCAGAAAACTACTAGAAAAATCACCAATCCATTTTTTATTTATTTTTCATCGTAAACTGTTTATACAATTCTAAGACACTTTTCTTCTATAACATTTGTCTCTACAACAACCCAGAACCGATATAGTAATATGCCTGAGTCGGCCGGCGGACCAAGAGTAAATGAACAGAGTTTGGGTGTCTGGTTTTTGTTATCAACGCAGTATCTCGGCGGGGGGGGGGTGTAAATTAGGTTAGGTTAGATTAGATTAGATTAAAGTTCAGTTAGGTTAAGTTAGGATACTAACCATGTGGGGGTTACTTGTCTCTCTAATATATCAGGGACATGTGTAATATAATTTCTGTACCCTTACGATTTTATATAATAATAATCAATGAAATCTTGTAGTTTATTTTATTTTGTAACATTTCAGTAAACTGAGGGTTCGAGAGTCTGAAGCTTCATAGGGCTTCGAATATATTGTCTCGGAACTAATCTAAAGTTCACATCACGGAAGAAACAAGAGGTCAATGGGTGAGACACAGCGAGGCGGTGGTTTCGTTCTGGTGTTTGAGCTGGTCGGTGTGGTGCCTGAGCCCTCCTTCCTGATCCCTAGTTATACTGCTAAGGAATCGTGGCCGAGGTATGGGTGACTAGTATGTATACCCCAGGGGGAGGTACTGTGTCTGAAGGTGGTGTGTGTGAGAGGATTGCGGTCGTGTTGTGGTTGTGAGGGACGATACATTGGCTCCAGACAGTGACGGCCATGACAGATCCAAGCAGAGTACCAGACTATTCTCCTTTATTAAGTTTTATTTGGAAGTTGTTTAATGAATTTTACTATTTAAACTTTATTGGGTTGTTATTATGTGAACAGTGAGTACAGTGACTAGGTTAGGGTAGGGTGGGTTAGGATAAGGTAGCGTAGGAGAGGGTAGGGTAGGATAGTACAGGATTGGGTTAATATTAAGAAGTTGCCAACACCTACTTATATATTGAATCATGGAGAGGAAGAGAGAAAAAAAAAATACTAACTTATTCAATAACGTTTCCGAAAAAAATACCCACGATATTAGTAGAGATAAAATTCAAGGTAAAATACATGAACAACAAACAAACATTTGAAAACCTGACCTAACGTTATTTTGTAATTTTTCCCGGTCACCATCTCAATCTCAGGTCAATTATTTCCCTTTAAGTTATAATTTCATTGACCTTAACAGAATATTCCCAGCTGCGTGTAATATCTCGCTTTTCTTATACTTTAAATGTTACTGTATCGCGGCCTCGAGCAACCATTAAAAGTCTCTATTGGTTGTTGGATCACGTTCATTATCCAGGGGTCACTTTCTTAACTAGGTATTGTCTTCTTTTAAATATTAATTCGTTGTAAGGAAACAATATTAGAATCGTCATCATCATCATCGAGTCATCTTGTGAAATTTAATATCATCTGAACACCCAGACTTTCACCTGGGCATAAAATCTACTGAACAAAAGATTTCCTTGAGACGTGTTACTTGTTTGTCACACTAAGAGAGAGAGAGAGAGAGAGAGTGAGTGTGAGTATGTGTGTGTGTGTGTAAGGTAAAAAAAAATACGTTATCTATACTCGACACCAAGCTGTTATCTCTCTAGACATCCAACATCCAACATTATTACCATTACACATTTATTCATCACTAATCCCATCAACAAACACTAATTAAACATTCACACATTGATATATACCCCCCCTCCTCTCCTCATTCCTCCTTATCTTTCATACATAAACACACTTTCCTGGTAGGAGTGATTCAGTATTGAGTTGTGAGACAAGGCGGTAATATGGCGTAACTTCAGCTCAGTCACTCTAGGAACACTTAGCTGCCTGCATCCATTACGTACTGTAATGTATTTTGATTACGTTTGTGTTAGTTAAATGTGAGTTATTTGTCTGATGTAAAGTGTTTGAGTATCATTAGCTAAGCCTATTTCACCTTTTGATTTAACCACCCTAATGCTTACCTAAACAAACCTTTAACCTGTCAATTTAACTCATTTAGTACAAGAAGTGAAGTAGTAATGTTTTATTTATGTTTATTACATAAATTAACCATTTAATGTTTCAAGTGTTGTAATCTAAACATGGAAAAGTGTTTCGAAACGCCGGGGTAAGATAAGTTAACTTTTTAGGAGAGTTTCTCATTTACCACCGCCACCACGCCCCTGTATAGAAGAAAACTTGCACAGTGGCGCCTGAAATTGATAGAGTAACTAAAAGAAATGTGTACAGTTTTTTATCTACTTTATTGTGAACTATATATTCATTATTGGACGTCGTGCATAAATTTATAACATTATAATATGAGGGGAAAGCCAAAAAAGCCCTGTGCACCTGGCTATGATAGAAGCTGTTGATTAATAACCTGATAAATATGTGAGGAGTATATTAGTCCGCTCACGAAGGGTGAATATTTTATGTCGTACCCTGGTCGTGGCACCAATAAGTAGCGTGAACGTGAGACAGATAAGTTGTTTAAAATAACCCAAGGTCTCACCACTGTAAAGGCTACTGTTGTATTAATATATAGAGTAGGATCAACCTTAGAAGGCGTGATGTGACGCACTAACTTGTTACAGTACAAGTGTACAGACTATTTTGAGAAATCCTCGTTGGCGGACAAAAGATAACGCAGTGTACACGATATTACCAGACTTTATATTATCAATAAAATCTTATGTTGGTTATCAGTTTTTTGAGTTATAACTTAATAGTTGTAAAGTTGCAAGCACAAGTATAGTTAAACATACCATCAAAGTCATTCAACTGTTTACTATAAGGTACAGGAGTATCTGACGATGCCGGGATGCTGTCACAGAGTTTCATACCGCAACACGGGAGTACACATACGGAACCCAAAGGAACCAAACGTGCGGTTGTTAAGTTCTTCGTCAAACATTTTATTGATGAATTTGTACAAGTTATCTGATATGTTTAATTACCGGAGATGATTGTTGAAAGAAATCTATATCGTGCCGTGTGTGTCGTGGTTGCGTCTACTCGTAATTTGATTTGTTGTTAGTGCCATTCAACCAAGGTCAAGAAGAAGGGACTACTAAGACAGTGAAGTAGTACTGGAGCTGTGACAACCAACACAGTTTTTTTTATGTGCAAGTTATGTAAAATTACAAACAAACTAGATATTCTCAGACCCAGATAATATACTGTATGTCTTTCAACTACCCCGAAACAACGATGGCGTCTATTTATTACTTACAGTAACAACACGTAGTTAGAACACCGGTATTGTAATTTTAAGTATTTTTATTTCTCCCATACGGTATAACTGTATATTTAAACCGGTCGGTAAATAACACGAAGGAAGCCGAGGTGATACGCCATATTGAAGGCAGGAATGTTACCTCACTTATTTGGTGTTGAGATTATCGCCTCTTTATTATTTCAGGCTTGTATTTTACTTTTAAGAATTTCATTTTTTATATTCCACTTGTTTTAATATGTTTGTGGATATTATAGAGATTATTTTATTATATATTGCCCGGGTTAATTGAATAGAGGCAGACTAGAACATTCCTAAAGTTTGTTAAGTTTGACTACCCCCCCCCCCTCCTAAGTCATGTTTGGTGATAATTAAAACTGGTGATAAAGTGATGGTAAAAAATATTATCATTGTCACTTGTATCAGTGATTTAGGGTTGGTGGGTTGGTGATCTTGAGAGTGGACATGTGAACGAAATGAAACATGGTATAGAATCATTGTAACTGTAAGGTGTGTGTGGGGATATATTTTCGGTGTTTTTTTTTAAAATTAAGAGTTAATACGGAATTGAAACACAAGATGGAATTATTTAAACGTCTGAATACATCAAACTTTGCGTTATTTCTAGAGCTAGACCAACAGGAGCCAGCAGACCCAACTCCTCAACGTAACCTGGGACAAACGGAAACAGAACCCAACAGTGTTTAGATAATATTATTACAAGGTCTCGGAGTCTTGTGATTATTATTTTCAATCAACAATTTTCTAACTTTACTGAATTTTGGTGTAAATATCTTAAAAAAAAAACATGAATGCAGAAATTAACCCCTTAACGAACAAGTCTCATAGATGTTGATGTGTGTAGGATGCGAAAAAATCCTCGGTAATGTTTATAAGATTAATGGCAATACTGAACTTAATACGTGTTTTTGGGCTGATAGTATTAAAAGCGTGTGGTGTGTGCCTGAGTGTGCGTGCTGCCGTGTCTTGTGGATTGGTGCTGTAATTATTTTCAATTGACTTTTATCTATGGTTGGCGATGATAAGAGATGCTGTTTTGATGGTTGTAAATAATAACATGATAGCTGCTTGAAATTTTTGTTAGTGAATGGTATTTACATAACCTGTAAACTATCATATGGGGAGACGGAGGATAGGTTAGGTTAACTTAAAAGTGAATAATCAACCGGTGAAATAAGCCGTGTGTGTTAACTTTATGTAACCTGGAATTATTTCTTTATCAAGGAAATCAAAAGAGACCACAGGCTATTATTCTTTTTTCTTCCCATTGTCAAGGTTGTCGAGGGCCTGTGATTCATATTCAATCACGTGGAAGTATTTACCCAATCACTGCTGCAATGACGTTCAGGAAATGCCAGGGTTTAGACACTCACGAAGGTTTGGATGAGATATATATTCCTCACGACCATAAATTCTGAATGATTCAAAACAATTACGCTTTAAATCCCTCCAAAAATGACGTTTAGAAGTAGTATTAAAATAAAACCGAGGTTACGTTAACTAGATATTATTTAATTAGTATCAATAAAACAGTTTTGGCGGGAACAATTCAATTGACGTCACACATTGTTTACATCATTGTCACCGTGAGTCATATGTATGTGGAACTTTATAATTAGTATTGGTTATGTCGCCACTGTCTAGGTGATTTTTAAGTCGTCGTAGTCAAGGGGTTAAGGCATCATACTCAAGGGGTTAAGGCATCATACTTAAAGGGTTAAGGCATCATACTCAAAGGGTTAAGGCATCATAGTCAAGGGGTTAAGGCATCATACTCAAGGGGTTAAGGCATCATACTTAAAGGGTTAAAGCATTATACTCAAAGGGTTAAGTCATCATACCCAAGGGGTTTAAGGCATTATACTCAAGGGGCTTAAGTCATCATACTCAAAGGGTTAAAAGTTAGGTTTTTTTCCCAAGCCACAGAATGCGATGGTGAGAGAGAATCACTGTTTCATACAAGCTGGGCAACAGTGAGTGGTGACCTTCAGCGATGGCTAGGCAGCTGTATTGTACATCACACTCCAAGACTGTTTTTTGCACTGTTTTTTTTTTTTTTTGGTTGTTGCTTTTTGTGTTAGTGTTTTGACATGTGGCCGACAAAGGATATTATTTGATGACTATCCATTTGTGAGAGAGTTGACGAGGGATGTTAAGATAGCGTAAATGTAGTATAAGATAGCCAATGTTATGATAATACCAGTGATGGGAAAAAAGCCAATGTTAGGATAATGCCAAGAACACTACGACCAACTGGACTCCTGCACACTCACGCAAACGATAGTCTCTTGTATACTGTAAATGTGAAACCTTTAGTACAGAACTTGCTTTAAGACGTAATATATTCCCCTTCCTCCTCCCTGCAGATGAGTTACCCAGGCAGCAATCAACCAGGCGTCGGCTTTGGCCAGGTAAGTGTCTTTTATCACCTGAAGTAATATAGTGATGTAGTTTAGGTGATATTAATTGTTTATATGGTAAAATAGGAGCTATATTAATATTTTATACACAAACTATCCTTTCATCCTACCCTCTCCTTTCCCCTATCCCCCCTCTTCCTCCTACCCTCCCCCTCCTCTCCCCCCTCCTCTCCCCCTCTTCCTCCTACCCTCCTCAAGATAAGGTATTCAGTATAGTATCAACAAGGCATAACTAGTTTTGGCTTTGTTATTATAATTTTCTATTATTATTGGCTCTGTTTTTCACTCTGTATCGTTCACTATTCACAAGAGTTAGATTAGACGTTGTAGTAATGCTGGAGCACCTGAAGATTAGTCCCCCTTTGCTTATTTCACCTGATAATTAGATCCTTAGCTTATTTCACCTGAAGTATAGCCCCTTAAGCTTATATCACCTGAAGATTAGCTTATTTCAACTGAATATTAGCCCCCCTTAGCTTATTTCACCTGATGATTAGCGCCCCTCTTAGCATATTTTACCTGATGATTAAGATAAGTTAGATTAGTGTTTGGGTTTGATTCAAGTAAAGCCCTCAGAGCACCTTGTCTAGTGGTACACAAAACGATACATTCATCTCTTAGTGTCGGGGCGTTAACCCTTGCCAGCCGTCCTCTACGCTGCCAGATGAACAATAATCTACCAAACGAGAGATAACGGCACAAACATACTAATGTACATACTTGTGAGGTATTGTTTGTATATGGAAGTCCGCTTGCTTATATGGACTGATGAGATATACATACATACATACATACATACATACATACATACATACGTTCATGAGTATACTGTATGCTTGAGAATGTGAAGTATATTTTGTGGGGGTTAAAGAGAACAAGTTTGGTTGAAAAAAAACTAATGTGGGTGTTTTATGTTAATAAGGGCAGGTGTGTGTGTGTGTGTGTGGTATTATGTATAAAGAAAAACGCTCTTCTATCAGGTAAGGAAGAGGGGGGGGTAAGTGTTCTGTTGGTTGGTGTCCTAATAACAGAGATATACAGTATACCACAATATACTGAATAGTTTGTGCCTTTAGCCTTTAAATATACTGTACTGAGATATACTGAACCTATTGTCTCTTATCTTACCTTTTAATATACTGAGTCCTAATTACTTATGTGTTGAGAGGAATGTACCAACTTATACTAAACATACTGTGACTTTATCATGGGTATGCTGAATCGTTTGGTATATATAAGCAAAGTATACTACAAAGGTTATATCCACCTGGGGATTTCCATAGCTGCTCGGAAACCCCCAACACCAAGGCTTACTATTCTAATTACCTACGTTGACAGGAAAAGACGAAGCTCGTGTTTACGCGTCATTAAAATTAAGCTAAACTCAAGTACTTGTTATAAGGCCCCCTTTTTTTTAACTCCTCTTATGTGCCCCTCCCCTTATTCCCCCTTAGTGGTAGTGTGACAACCCCTTTTTACCCCCTTTTTTAACTCCCTAGTGAGACCATATCAACCCCTCCTCTCTCTCCTTTCATCCTATACCTTCAAGTTTGTTTAGATCAGTTCAGTGGTAAATATAACTAATGTGTGGTAAATTGATGTAGGTCTCTCTCTCCCTCTCAACATACAGTATGTATGTTGTGCTGTCATTAGTAAGAGAAACAATTGAAACCCTGCAATTGTGTGTAAATGAGGCAGAAAGTCAGATCAGCAACCTGGGACTTGGTTCATAATTTTCGTGATGCCATGTGCTTCCAATATCTTCCCAGGCGGTAGTACCTCCCTGTTTGATAGCTGCCTACTACCTAGTACCTCAAATAGAACACGACTTGTACTGTATATGAACCACTGTCCTGTGTGGCAGTGAACAGTGATATTACCACCATTACCACCTAATCTTTTATGGTTGAGATAAGGTAAACTTTTTCTTCTTTCTCACCAGGGAACAAACTACTCAATCAACCCACCTGCAGGGTTCACCGTATGTTACCTGTGTGTGTGCTACTACTACTACTGTTGTGACTTGTATTACTACTACTGTACCATTACAACTATTACGACTACTACTACTGTTGTGACTTATATTGCTACTACTACTAACACTACTACTGTACCATTACAACTATTACGACTACTACTACTGTTATGACTTATTGCTAGTAAAATTTGTTTTTTTACTACTACTACTACGTGGCCTCCAACCTACCCCAATAGCCACACCTTCACCGCCATTTTATTAACTTAATATTAAATATCCTAATATAAAAGTAACTACCCTAGCTGTGATAAAGAAGTCACTGGTACATTATTTTTACGAGTGGGGCCGTCGACAACAATTATCGTAGTCACAATAACAACAGTCGTCTTCACCTGTACTGTTACCTGCTGTTGTCTTCCATGAATCTTTTATTAGTCTTGAAATGTGATCCAACAGACGTGAAATTGTTGTGTGTTTAGCCTGACTAGTGACTCGTTATATAGTGGATGGTTTCAGAGATTGTTTGGTGAAACTCACTAATCCTAGACGTGGATCCACACCTCCCTAATGTAACCAAACTGTATTACTAGCAATACTCAGATCCACAGCCAAGTGTTAGGTCGGTCCACTGAGAACATTAACTATTAACCCCGTTTCTTTACTATACCCGCAGGGAGGAGGCTACCCCATGTACCCCCAGGCCCCTGGTAACCCCGGGCACTATCCGCCAGCGCCTGGGGCTGCGCCCTACCCGCCTGCGCCCTACCCACCTGCTCCAGGAGCTGCTCCTTACCCGCCTGCCCAAGGTGGGTCTTACCAACCGGCGTCTGGATTCTCCCAGTACCCGCCTGCACCGGGGACTTCACCGTATCCACCTGCACCAGGGGCATCCCCGTATCCACCTGCACCAGGGGCATCCCAGTACCCACCTGCACCGGGGGCGTCTCAGTACCCACCTGCACCAGGGGCGTCCCAGTACCACCTGGACCGGGGGCTTCCCAGTACCCACCTGCACCGGGGCGTCCCAGTACCCACCTGCACCTGGGGCTTCCCTGATACCCACCTGCACCGGGGCGTCCCAGTACCCACCTGCACCAGGGGCGTCTCAGTACCCACCTGCACCAGGGGCGTCTCAGTACCCACCTGCACCAGGGGCGTCTCAGTACCCACCTGCACCAGGGGCATCTCAGTACCCACCTGCACCGGGGGCATCTCAGTACCCACCTGCTTCAGGAGCTCCCGGAACTTCACCGTACCCACCCGCAGGAGGAAACCCTTACCCAGGTGCCGGGGGAAGCCCTTACCCGGGTAGTGGGGCGGCCCCGTATTCGCAGGCAGGTGTGGGTGGCCAGCCGCCCGTTGCAGGTTACCCAGGAATCACCCCTGCCCACCACACCGCCCAGCAAGCCACCCAAATGAACGTCTCGCACTCGGCAGCACCAACAGGCGGCAGGATCCTGCCATACACCGTGAGTACTGTACTGTGTTGCCACGGACCATCTCACCGTCTCTCGTCTTCACTCTGGTAACACCAACAGACGATGCCAGTGTGAGGAGTTAATGATTCTCTTAAAAATGTTTGGATGCCCCAAGATTAGGTCTCTTCCCCACGCTTATTTCACCTGATGATTACTCACTCTAACCTAACCTATTATAACCTATCGTAACCTAACCCCCCCTGGTAGTATTAGGGTGTTTAATCATCAGGTGATCCCATTGTAGTAATCTCATTAGTATGTTAGTAATGTAAATAACACACAACATTAATCTCGAGTTCGGTTTTTCAACAGGATGATTTTATAGTTTAAACAGATAAGATACAAATATTCTTATATATATATATATATATATATATATATATATATATATATATTTATGATTTACCTATATTTACTGTACAAACAAACCCGTCATCATCACGCTTGCCTCACTTCACCTGATTCATTGTTTACATATTGATCAATCGCTTGTGTTAACTTCTCGGTGTAACTTCTGAACTAAACTACACTCTTAGCGTGTGGTGGGGTTGATGCCTTTCCTGGTGACCACAACTCGTATCACTACACGTATGATTCGTTGTCTTTCCTCATTGTTACATAGAAAATTAAAATTTTCTCGTCTGCCAGCTCACGTGCCCAACCAATCAGGATTTAGCAACTAGATCATGTAACACAAAGGATTGATAGTGACTGAGACAAACAATCAGGATTTAGAAGCATACGTGACGTAATACATTGCCACCAATCAGCGTATACGAAAATGTGACGTCAAATGTTGTAGCCAATAAGAGTTGGTATATGCATTATCTCACAGTCTCCATGCCACTTTTCCGGTCCTCCCAGCTTCCAGTAAGCATCCACCTTAGCTCGGCTACGATTGTCCTGTGATCACTCTGTACTAGCATGGCAGGGGCGAGTAGCGAGGTTTTTGGAAGGGTGAGTTAATTTGACGCGTTTTTTTTTTTTTAAAGACTATGGCGGATGTTAGAGTCTGCTTGTGGTCTGTGTTTTGGTGGTTGTGAGTTGAGTGTAAGTTTGTCTTTGTGTTGTTTGTGTCGGTATCCAATGGCAGGATGTGCGGACGGATGATTTTTGTGGAGTTTTAGTACACACACACACACACACAAAACCAAACAATATATACATAGGCTGTGAAACTATACAAACAATATAGTAAAAAAAAATATCTTCCTGCTTATTATACAAAACAATATGACACAACAGACGAAGGATTTTCACAACCCTACCGAGACAACACGAATCGTATTGATAATTTTGAAATTTATCGGACCCATCCAGGAATATACTTTTTTGGTGTTGTTTTACCGGATGTACAGTCCCCTTCACTCGTGCGCTTACAGGGGCTCGTCATATAAACATTCCACAAATCATTATCTTTGAGATATTTGTTTTAATATTGTTTTAAATTTGATTCCATAGTATGTTTACTGTTGTGAGTTTCCTCCTGGCGAATGTAAACAAACACACGGCTGCCACACTTCACAAAACCTGAT